GGATGTCTTTCCTTTGGCCCCGGCTTTGCCCCTAAATTTGGCTGCGACTTTTGACTTTTTATTCGTCTTGCCCTTGACTACTTTCGATTTCGACGCGGTCCTGCCCTTGGTTTTTGACACACCCTTGTTCTTTCCAGCCGTCTTCTTAGCCTTTCCCTTGCCGATGGATTTGGCTTTGAACCCGGTCTTGCTCTTGCCCATGGCTTTAGACCTCAAAGTAGCCTTACCCTTGGACTTCAAAGCAAGCTTGTTTCGTGCGGAGGCTTTGGCGGTCTTGCCTTTACGGACCGCCTTGGCTTTGGATGTACTCTTGCTCTTGATAGCAGTCTTGGACCTTGATACCTTAGACTTGGATGCGGATTTGCCTTTGGCCTTCGACAAGAGCTTGTTCTTCGCAGAAACTTTCGTGGCTTTGCCCTTGCGAACACCCTTGACCCTCGAAGCGCTCTTGCCTTTGTCGGTCTTGGACCTTAAAGCCGCCTTGCCTTTGGACTTCATTGCCGACTTGCCCTTTCCACCGGACTTGGATTTCTTGATCTTACGACCAGCCCTGGATTTTGACGTGGTCTTGCCGAGTGCCTTGGACTTTGCAGCCTTGCCTCTAGATGCCTTCGAAGCCGCCTTGCTACGGCCTTTGGAAGCGAGCTTGTTCCTTCCAGTAGCCTTGGGCTTCTTGCCCTTGCCAACGGCTTTTGTCCTGGGCCCGGCCTTGCTTTTGCTCTTGATCACAGAGGGTTGTTTGGACGTTGGTTTCCCTTTGACTTTCGCACCGAGCGCTTTCTTTCCAGGTGTCTTGGGTTTCGACTGAGGTTTGGTCTTGCTCGCTGATTTGTTCCCCTTCTCGATCCCTTTGAACCCAGCTGCCTCTCTTTGTGCCTGCTCTCGCGCTTCCTGTCTTTGTCTGAACGGGCATTCTCCACGTTTCCGCAGACCACCACCGTCACATTTGTCCGTGCGTGACTTCCATTCGGCCTAAGCGACACAAAAAGGTCAGTCATCATTCGCTTGTATTCCAGTACCCAGGAGTTAAATGGCACGTACTTTCTCGGAGTGCGAGAGTTCCTTTCCATCAATCAACTTCTGCTCCATCTCCTTGAGCCTGTTTGCGTTGGCCGCCTGTTTGGCCTTACCCTTGGGCACACATCCACGTTTACGGAGGTTACCGACGTTTTCGCAGGCATCTTTATGGTCCTGGAGTTGTTGCTAAGGGATATTGATGATTAGATCCTCGCCCTCGAAGCATAGGAAGAACGTGAGTGTTAATAATGAAATAGAACACACCTCTGAATTTGGCGAAAGCTCTCCACCATTCATCGCCTTTTGTTTTTCCAATTTAGGGATCTGAACTGCGGCCTCGAAATACGCCTTGTTCTGCGCGTCTCGACGCGTCTCTTCGTCTTCCGCCCATTTTCTGACTTCAGTTTCTTGAAGAGAGCCAAGGAGCTTCCAGGCATCAGGATTTCGGTGTGGATTCGCCGCATTGTTCATTCGGTCTGTCCATTCCGCGGAGACTATACCGGCCCCATGCCTCATCACATCGTGCGCTCCAAGAACCTCCTTGTAATTCGTTCCTCCCGCCGAATTCGGAACATTGCCTGATCCAAAGTCTATGTTGGTAAAAAAAAAAAGAAGCTCAAGCAATGTAACAGTGAAATAAGAATCGAGTACATACATCCAACTTCCTTTGTGACTTGTGAATTGTACTGATCTGGAGGGAGGGTCTGCCGAAGCCTGCCTGCTTCCTCTGAGTTGATATACTTTGATGTGGTACCGTCGTTGTACATGTGATCTCCTCCCCTAAGAACAGCATGGACCGCTTCGTGGAGCGCAGTCCCCGCTCGGTTTGCACGTCCGTATTCTTTATCGTCGTGCCATCCACTGCCGAGCCACATGATAGCCGGCTTGGACTCGTCGTTTACGCCAGTTCGATCCGTGTGGGCAAGAAACTCTTGCTTGACAGTCCCGCTCGCTTCTCTGCCCTCTCGTCTTAGCCGTTCTGCGTATTGGTGATCTTCGGCCTTTTGTGGATTACTATGCTTGATGGTTATCTTTGCGTCCCTCAGAGCATTGACGTCCTCTCGAAGTTGTTCATGGTGTGTCTGCCAATTGTTACCGAATGCGAGCCTGACTCGTTCTGCTGCTGCCTGGTCGGTAAGCGCATTATGAATGTCGTAGTGGACGCCTGCAAGCATGTCGTTGACTGTTGAAAAATGACATGAGCACACGGTGAGTCTGGCTATAAAGATAGTCTTACCGTCCTTTTGAGCTGTTATGATTCGTTCATTGTCCTTTCTTTATCTTTGGTATGTATCTTCATCACGTAGGCAAGGCGGGCTGAATTGATTCATTATCAGGTGCTAGCACCTAATTTCTTTTAAACGCATCTCCCTTCTTTGGTAACGCTACTCCTGGTAGCTGGAAAACGTACGTACACACCTAGTACGAACAACCCAGCTCAACGGGTTCTCTATAGTGGTTTTTTCTCTACCCGCCCCTAGACCTGACTTCTCCTTTGACACTGAAAACCCATCGGATAA